CGATCTACGCAATGTACAATCTCTACCAGCTGTATGCGAGTCCTATTTAAAGGCTTAGGTCTTTCATTTTCCTATTGCGAAGTACAAGGGAAAAAAAAAAAAAAAGCCCTAATAAAAAATAGCATGGAATTTTCCCCAAAAGCCATTCATTTCCTTTTCTGCATAAAGAAGCCATGATTATCTTTTTCATTTCCACGATCTTTGACCTTTGACATCACATACAGTACATGTGTGCCAAAAATATGACACGTAAATGATGATGCTATCGCAGTGATCCAAATAAAAAGGAAATTGTCTAAAAATAACCATACGTTTCGAATGATATATTTATTGCATACCGAAAAAAAAGATCCATGGATACAAGACCTCACGGAAACAAGGACAAAAAGGAAAGTCTTGAATCGGTGCAAAAATAGCACATCTCCATCCGGTTACGGGAATAGGCTATCCGATACTGATAAACACTGGGGGTAACAATATTTTTTGGGGCTAGCGTCAACATCGTATTCGTAAAATGGTATTCTTATTTACATTATACCAAGACATCTGTTATATGTCATATGAGAATTTTCGATTGGGATGTGCTGTCTAACGGTCCAAGCAATTCAAGCAAAATACATAATACGCATAATCATAATATCATAATATGCACATAACCAAATCTCTAACAAGGAAAGGAAATCGGATACGTAATTTCCCCTTATGACCGCCAGCACGTTTCGCCCACAAGAGAAATCATGTGATCCCTGCATTATACTATGAAACATAAATTTGATCGGGTATTATAATTATTATTGATGGAATCAGACTCCGATGATTTACTTGGTTTCATTCTAGAAATCTATAAAATGCCTCTTATCTCGGAATTTTCCCGTAAAAAAAAAAACAAAAAAACAAAAAAACAATTGATTTGTAATTTGTGCTTAAAAAAAAAAAAATAGTAATCCGAATTCCGTTAGCTGAACTCACCCTCTCTGAAAGTGATAAGTTTTTTTTTACCTCTTAGCGCTTAACAATGTCCGAAGGAGAATTCGCAGGAAAGGTTACTATCACCCCGATCCAATATGTCTTGTATTATAGATATAGACACTATAGACACGAAAGAAGTCCTTGAATTTAACTTTGATTCATCGTTTAAATTAAAATAGTGGCGACGGATCACATCTTCAAAGTCCACGGGTGCCTTTTTTGCGCTCGCAATTATACAAATGATATGCCTGATGTTGATACAAGCGAAAATAATCAATCGAAATGTTCACTTTGTCACAAATAACGTAGTGTCTTTCTTTAACAAAGACGGTACAATCAACGATATGTGTTCAGTAGAAGTTACGGTCTACCCGCTGACTCTGCTGTTTGCGGAGAACGTGGTTTTCGTAATTTTTTATTTATTCGAGTTATATTTTTGCATAAACGCGGTTCGTATTTACGCATCGTCTTGAGTGTGTTCTATTCGATAATTAACTAACACGGTGATCTTACCTTAGATAATTGATCAAAGCATGATAAACATTATCGCCGTTCTAATATTGGAATATGGATCGGGCGTATTTGGAATTGTAAATACTTTCACATTCGACTAATTCATTCATTCAGGTATCGACTAAATACGTCTCTCTGAAATTTGTTAGTTGCAATTAAATGAGTCCGAGGCAATACTCAGAAGCATAACGGATAACTGTGCAGGGCTTACGTTTGATACCCAGCCCAGCACAAATGAGATCCTACACATCATCGTCATATTCTTCTTCGCTATTCTCTTCTCTGTGCTGACCTACCCATTGTTCCGGAAATATGAATGGTCGATATACGAAAAGATTAGCATTGACGAAGATTTGAGAAGTAAGTGCGGCCGCGTGCTGTCTATATACATACACACACAAATTTATATATTCTTTTTCTTGTTGCAGAGGCATATAGGGCTAGACTGATATTTACCACGTGTTTAAAAAATGTGGCGATGTTCGCTTTCTTGTACATTTTCCTCTCCCTGGGTGCGATTCTACCCCTGGTCAAAGATTCTTCTATGTTATCGAAAGTATTTTTTTCGATAAATCTCTTGATGCAAGCGATTACCCTCGCACTTGTGCCACTCGCATTTTATGGGGTAACGACCATAATAATTTTGTCATTCTCGCTTTCATACCCTAATATCACGTGCATGTGATAACGAAAATCCGTTGAAATTTTAGGCTTCCGAAGAATCGAAATCGGCAATGATAAGTTTCATGATTTTTGGGGTTTTCGTGTTTGCAAATTACGGATACCTGCTTGGTGCGAACGGAGGAATTGCAGTCTCCAGTGGTTTTGTGTTTTGGTTATGGTTTAGTGAGTATTCGTTGTTATCATTTATAGTCGTACAATGATTCATCCAGTGATATTTATATGACATCTTGAATCCTTTTAGCGATCATATTCTTGATATTGTTTGTGGTAAGTGACTTATCAGAAATTACTAGCGAATTCAATTTCTCATGCAATCCGTAAATAACAAACTCATTACCATATCAGGTGACCTTTGTGACTTCGATCTTTACATTCAGAAACTTTGGTGAAGGATTAAAGCCAGCAGGTAGGAATGAACGATTTAAAGGCCTTGGAGAAATTAGTGACGGGATTCCTATGGGTACTGATTCTTTGCTTCCTTTCTTTTTTGAAAAATGTGTTATTAGTTGAAGAACTAAAAGAGCGTGAACACAATGATTTACTCTTGCATAAAAGAATTGAAGACCTTGAAAGTAGAGATGAAATATGGCTGCCTGAATAATGATTTGTAAAAAATTTTTTCACTTTTCTAAAAAAAAAAAAAAATTCTCATTAGACAAATATTTTAAAATTAGTGTACATAAAAAAAAAATTCATTAGTTTATTGTAAATAAAACTCTCGGAAGTAGGTAAATAAAAATTTATTGTATACGGTGTATCGTCAAGTTATTATTTTATTTATTTATTTTTTTTTTATACATGATAATATTATATAAAACAAATTAAGAATACAATATGCTTGTATGCACTTAAATATTACAAAGTAATTAGAAAATTCATTATCTCCAACTTAAATTTTACGATGTATACTACGTGTATACGTGTATCTTTTTAATTTGCTATTTAACTTTAGTGAAGAAATATAAAATATAAAATGACATCATAAACGTATGTTTAAATATGTATACGACATTAATGAAAATGGGTGATGTATACCACGTCAAGATAATCAAGATAATTAACAACAAAGGAATCCCGATTATTCATGAAGATTTCTCAATTCGAACGTCAAATTTTTAAAAGCACTGATTTGTAGCCAAATGGAAGAAAAAAGGTATGTAGGCTATGCTTTATAAATATATAGACAATAATACAAAAACTTTTGGAAAAAAAATGATGTGTTTAATAAATTCTATGAGCTTAAGATAAGAATTTCACCAGTCTTTCGACTACATTCGCCATACTCGGTCGCTATTCAAGAATGATAAAATATATATATATATTAGCTATTAGCAGGAGCAACAATAAAAATAATAAATCTGACTTGCCTTAGCAGGATCCTTCTTCCACATCTCCTCTACTAATTCAAGAAGTTGAGGATATTTCCTTAAAGCATCGGTTGGAGGGCGCAAACCTTTATCTCTTACTAAAATTTGCAAACAAGATCAGCCTCGTTCTCAGAATTAATTAATATATGAATGAAATCAGCGATGAGACAAACCTGCTTCATATAATTGATGTTCCGAAAGATTCTGGTATGGGTAGCCTTGTTCGGCCCAAGTCACAATTTCCCAGAATATCAGAGCGCACGCATATACCTATTGACATGA